AATTTTGTTCCACTTTTTGTATTTACCTTCCTATGCATTGCTTAGAGTAACACTTCATGTTATCATTTCTTTTTTCGAAGTAAAGGCACAACAGTATTTTGTATTTCAAGTTGCATGTTCTTAGACAAGAAAATGTTGCTTAAGATTTGGCTTAATCCTGGGTTATACTCAACTATCTTTCGAGGAACCGGGGCCCTGGATACATAAACTGAAGATCAAAATTTACATTTTTTTCTTTGTTTGTTTGTCTTTTTAAGGGTTTATTTTCCATCTTAGGAGGAAACATTTCCTTTAATAATTTCTCTCACTTTAATTCAGCATGCTATGAAATGCTGACTGTATTTTTAAGTGAAAGAGAATCAACTAGGAGATTCTCTATTTTCAATTTAATGGGGATGGTGAATCCTTGATACTATAGATAAAGAGAAGAGTTAGAATGTTTATGTTTATTGAACTATCAATGTAAAGCTGGGGGAGGGGAGGGGTGACTGGAGTGGCAGGGCATGGGGTGGGAATTTTTAATGATCCTTTTCTCCCAGGAGAGGGGATATTTAAATCTTTCTTTGCCTGACATGCACTGGGATCAATTGAACGTTTTAAGATATTGCAGGATCAAAGTTACTAGAAGCTCTACTTTCAAAAAAAGGTGCACTGAAGCAAAAGGGCCATCAGATTGAAGATGTGCATGAGATGTTTAATTTTCAAGAGGCCTTTAACCCTAGATGATAAAATCTTATGATTTTGGATTTTGAATTTTCATGACCTTGTTTTAGATCATTTGGAAGGAAGTGCTCCTGGTCAGTAATCAAGACTTTTAAAAATAAATTTCATTTGGTGCTGTTCACAAAAGAACCTACAGGGCCACTAGTGGATATTCTATAATTTAAATTGAGCTCAGTATAAGGTTAAGGTTTTGACATGACTTCAATGCTGTGTGGGACTAAAATGTTTTGATACTGTTGTCGCATTTCAGTAAAAGATGTCAGTTATCGTTTTTACTAGAACCATAACATAGGTAAAACTTAAGTCAGAGGCAACCATGTGCAGCCCGGGGAGGGGAAATTTTTGTGCATGTGACTGGAATGATTTGCCCGTAGGAAGGGGATTTGACAGAAAATTTTTGAAAAAATGTCAAATCCCTATGCACCCCATGCCCTACCTCCCCCCCCCCTCCCCACCCGCTTTACATTGATAGGTGTATTATAACAAGACAACTGTCATTTTGAGTTACCATGCAGTGTTCAATCTAGAAATTATGGAAAGTGGGTCAAATGTCCCACGTGACATTTTAAATTGGGTCATTTCAAAAATGGTCTGGGTCAAATTATTATGATGATAATAAACTTCGAAAAACTGGCAATATCCCTATTATGCTATACACTACCAGTATATTTTTACAACTTTTTAGCATTTTAAGTCAGTTTCAACGTTTTCGAATTTTTTATCCCTATTATAGTTTTTATGCTTTTCACAGTTTTGATTTGCTTATTGCAGTAACTGGAAACAGTCAAATAATTGTAAAGCCGAAAAAGACCAATTATGAATAAAAGGAAACCAAAAAATGCCTGTTTGACCAATTTTACACTTCATACTTTCTAATCAGCTTTAACTAACACAAGTTCCAAGCTTTTCCTTAGTTAGCCAGTAAAGATTCTTCTGTCCTTTTTCTTCCTCCAATGCTGCAAGGCCGCGTTAAAGTGGCATGGCTGGGTCTCGGGGCCCAAGAAACAAATTTGACCACCAGTATAGTAAGGTGTTCCTTAAAAAAAAAAAAGGTGTTCCCAGAACAACAACAACAACAAAAAAAGGTTTACAACGTCACCTGTAAACAACGGATTAAAAATAATTCTATTTTGAGAAACCCGAACCTGGGCCGGCCGTGAGTTAGTGTATGGGTGCGTAAGTGCGATGTGTGCCTTTTGTTTTCAGTGTGTCATATATATTGGGCTGCCTGTAGAACGCTTTTGTCTCATGTTTGTTTCCTTTCGAAAGCTCTGAATACAGTCACACACTGCATGCTGCAGTAGTATAAATACTTGCATTGGTTATTGCTTTTTCTTATGTGGTGGCTCCTAAAAGAGCCGTTTGTTTGTAAAGAAGTGTCGCACTTTACTTCTTAGCGGGTTTTTTGGCGGCAGTTTTCTTGGCGGGCTTTTTGGCTGCAGGCTTCTTTGTCTTTTTTCCTGTAGCTTTCTTGGCAGCTGGTTTCTTTGCTGCAGTCTTTTTCGGTGACGATTTCTTACTGGGCTTTTTAACTGCTGCTTTCTTGGCTGGCTTCTTCTTAGCCGCTGGTTTCTTCGCCGCTGGCTTTTTAGCCGCGGGTTTCTTTGCTACCTTCTTGGCGGCGGGCTTCTTTGGCTTCTTCGCCGGTTTCTTCGGAGCCTTCTTTTCCTCCTTGGGCACCTTGAAGGAGCCAGAAGCGCCAACTCCTTTGGTGTGTACTAACTTTCCACCAGCAACTCCTCTCTTGAGAGCCGTCTTCAAGTGTGGGCCGACCTCCCCAACCTTGTAGTTGGCTTTGATGTACTTCTCGATGGCTTGGCGCGAAGATCCGCCTCGCTCTTTCAGAGCTACAATAGCAGCCTTGATCATCTCACTGTATGGTGGATGATCAGCTGGCTTTTTAGGCTTAGATGGCTTCTTCTTAGCCGGTGACTTTGTTTGAGCAACTTCAGACATGATGGACTTCGAACGATACCTTCGGATACGAAAGCACTGATTGAACAGCCAAATACCGCGAAGTGATGTAAATGAGTAGTATGCGGACCACTGAGGAGACAATGATCGAACATGGCGCACGATTCTTCTGTGCTAGTTTTCTGTGGATTTTGTCAAATAAAGTGTTGTAACATAGAAATAAATTACTTCTAGAATGAAGAGATTGAAAGCTTAGCCTTGAACATAAGCGATTACCACAAATATGTGCGAGTTAAGGTACGTGTAGGAAACGATATCTAACCTTTTATCCTTTCGCTCCGGTGAATCTTGAAATAATTTTATCTTTAAAGTCGTATAATTGTTGCGCCTGCGATTTTCTTTTTGTGTAGAAATATTTGGAAGATAGGAAAACTTCTACACTTTAAACCTCTCCCTGTAGTTTTTACAGTCTCTCTCATTTAACTTGGTTTAAATCCTCTTTTGTCAACACAACAAAGACAATACGTCGTTTGCCACCATGCAGTGAGAGCGAGAAGCTTGGCCGGTCACTCTATTTTGCAGTACGTCGAATGGCCGCCGAGCGCCGAATGACTCAGAAGTTTAGCCATTAGGGTTAGAAAACTGAGTGAATCAGGTTCATTTAAGGTCACTATACTGGGCAAACTAACCTGAAACTTGATTCATGAGTCTCCTAACCCTATAAGCAGGGGCACCCAACGCAAATTTAAATAATATCTGTTCGGAAGACGATTTGAGATCTAGAATTTTCGAAACATTTGTTGTAAAATTTCTTGCTTGCCTGCCTCACCTAGGATTTTCGAACATCTAAAAAGTGGTATAATTGCCCATTTTTTAAGGATTTTTACCCTAAAAAGGTCACCTAAAATTTTCGGGAGCCCTTTTTCTGGCTGAAATTTTGGAAAAGGTAAGTTTTGATCCCAACAATTTTCGGATCACTAGACTTTCAGGTAGGAAATCCGAACAGATAAAAACTTTTTAGGGGATAAAAATATGCCTATATCTACCGTTTAAATACTAAAATACGTTCAACAATGCTATGTTTAATTGGTTTTGAACTATATTCCCGTTGGGTGCCCCTGTATAAGCATCATGCAGTGAGAGCGAGAAGCTTGGCCGGTCACTCTATTTTGCAGTACGTCGAATGGCCGCCGTGCGCCGAACGACTCAAAAGTTTAGCCATTAGGGTTAGAAAACTGAGTGAATCAGGTTCCATTTAGGGTCATTATACTGGGCAAACTAACCTGAAACTTGGTTCATGAGTTTCCTAACCCTATAAGCATGACGACTAAACTTCATGGTTGTTCGGCCCTCAGTGGCGGCCGTTTGTCGTTGTGCATATTCAGTACTCCTGCCTGGGTCTTCTTTCTCATCGAAAACCAGTGAATTTCGTTTAGGTCTAGCGATTTTAACTTTTTGCTAGATATTAGCTGGGTGATTTAATAAGAATATTTCGGGTGAATTTTCCTGTTAAGCCGAGTACGTGAAATTATTTACACATCGACTGAATACACCTGAGTCGAAACGACCTGTAACCATTTCAAATCACTATTGTGTAAAATATGCGTTTGCTTTATCGCTAACTTGCCTTTTACGGCTAGATATAGCGAACCAGATTAAGAATTTTAGGTTAGATAAAGAATAGTAGATTTTCGTGCAACTATTTGGTGTTTTTGAAAGCCTTTAGCTGAACCTTGATAGGCAGCCCGTGGTCGTATATCATTACATTAAATGCTAATAATGTTACATGCTAATATTTTTACATTTTAAAAATACAAATTTTGTATTCTTAAAATGTAAAAATATTGGCATGTGTTCTTACGGTCTTTTCTGATGATAGATTCTCATAGTAGTACTGAGTAGTTCTAGAAAAATTTACTTTTCTACTGATTCACTTAATGAAAGGAGCGATCAAGTACAAAAATGAAATAAAAATTTTTCATTGAACGTGTATTAGTCTTGCCAATGTTGGTGTTCGCTGCAGAGAATAATCAGACAACTTTAAAGCGTTCTTACATATTTCATTAACAAATTTAGTGGGCGAAAATACATCAAGCGATCACTTACTACAGAAACCATCACGTTTGGTTTAGTGATGATTTTAAATGGAGATTTTCTTCCCTTTTTGTTAATCTCAGTAAGGTTATTTTTTTAAGTTTCCAACTTAGAATTGTGAAGACAAAGGGTGCTTTACTCCCCTTGGAAAAAACAGTTGAAACTGACAAATCGGGCTAGTAGACAGTAAGTCATGGTTGTTGGTCATTGCTTTTATTGATTTGGTGGCTCCTAAAAGAGCCGTTTGTTTTGAACTAGAAGCAATGCACTTATGCACGCTCTCCGCGGATTCGGCGGGCCAACTGAATGTCCTTGGGCATGATGGTGACGCGCTTGGCGTGGATGGCGCACAAGTTGGTGTCTTCAAACAGGCCAACAAGGTAAGCCTCGCTTGCTTCTTGAAGAGCCATTACAGCAGAGCTCTGGAAACGCAGATCGGTCTTGAAGTCTTGAGCGATCTCTCGCACAAGACGCTGGAATGGCAGCTTGCGGATTAGCAGCTCTGTGGATTTCTGGTAACGACGGATTTCACGAAGAGCCACTGTACCAGGCCTGTAACGATGAGGTTTTTTGACTCCTCCAGTGGCAGGTGCGCTCTTACGAGCTGCCTTTGTGGCGAGCTGTTTTCGTGGAGCTTTTCCACCAGTTGATTTACGGGCAGTTTGCTTTGTACGTGCCATTTCTGCTAACTCAAAAGTCAACGAATAATGTATGCAATATTCCTTCCACGATACTTTATACTTAGCGCGCTTTTTGCTGATTGGTTATAAACTATGCGATTTCATTGGATAACCAAGACTGCTCGTAAAATATTGCTATGATCTAGGCTTGCATTGCGATCCTATAAGTCACATAAGGTTCTTTTGATTTATAGAAAACAATTATTCCTAAGTTGTCGTTGTTAATTGTTAGAAACTATCATCATAAAATCAGTGTGACAGTTATATCGCACGAGTTTTAGTGATGATGGTGATTTTTGCCTCCTTCAACATGTTCGCACTTGTCTAGTGAGGCAATAGTATGGTAATAATTAATTTGACCCTTGACTTTTTTGTCTGTTCTACCCAATCAAGAACAAGAAATTATTTCTTCAATAGCTTGTTTTCCGTGAGGTCATTCTTCGTGGTATAAAAAGACGGGAACTCGTGTTTTGACTTATTATTTCTTATCCGAGAAAGAGTTTCAACATGTCTGGTCGAGGTAAAGGAGGCAAAGGTCTAGGAAAAGGAGGCGCCAAGCGTCACCGAAAGATTCTTCGTGACAACATCCAAGGCATCACCAAGCCAGCTATCCGTCGTCTTGCTCGCCGTGGCGGTGTCAAGCGAATCTCNGAAAACAATTATTCCTAAGTTGTCGTTGTTAATTGTTAGAAACTATCATCATAAAATCAGTGTGACAGTTATATCGCACGAGTTTTAGTGATGATGGTGATTTTTGCCTCCTTCAACATGTTCGCACTTGTCTAGTGAGGCAATAGTATGGTAATAATTAATTTGACCCTTGACTTTTTTGTCTGTTCTACCCAATCAAGAACAAGAAATTATTTCTTCAATAGCTTGTTTTCCGTGAGGTCATTCTTCGTGGTATAAAAAGACGGGAACTCGTGTTTTGACTTATTATTTCTTATCCGAGAAAGAGTTTCAACATGTCTGGTCGAGGTAAAGGAGGCAAAGGTCTAGGAAAAGGAGGCGCCAAGCGTCACCGAAAGATTCTTCGTGACAACATCCAAGGCATCACCAAGCCAGCTATCCGTCGTCTTGCTCGCCGTGGCGGTGTCAAGCGAATCTCTGGCCTGATCTACGAAGAGACTCGTGGTGTTCTCAAAGTTTTCCTTGAGAATGTGATCCGTGACGCTGTGACCTACACCGAGCACGCCAAACGCAAGACTGTGACAGCCATGGATGTGGTGTACGCTCTCAAACGTCAAGGACGTACTCTGTACGGATTTGGCGGCTAGATCTTTGCGCTACACACTCAAACAAACGGCTCTTTTAGGAGCCACCAAATCTCTAGAAGTCATAACCAATAAAGTGTTTTCTTTATCTTAATATAAACCTCTCGTTAGTTTGGGCAATGAAGAAAGTGTTACAGTAGTAAACGAAAGTACGTTAAATTTTGGAATATAAGTAACTTTCAGAAATATCGCTTTTATTCTTGTGTAATTTTGCTGTCGAGTTTCTAAGGATCATTACTTCTTGCGTAAGAGCAATCAAACTGCACGCCGTTATAATTTAAATTGCGCGCGTCGGTTACTGAACTGATTTGCATTCGTTACGATCTTAACGGTTGACTTCACCGAAACTCAGTATTAGTGTGATTAGTGAAAACAAGTGTCCTGCAACGGTAACCTTTTAAAAATGAGGCCTCGACCCGCCTTTTTTTAAAATTTATGCATACCGGAAACTGCAAAGCAGTGATGGCCATTTTAAACATAAGAATTTAGTAAAAAGAATGATAGATCGGTGCATATCTAGGGGTTTCTTGCTGGCTTCATCGACTTATTCGAAGAAGGGAGTATCTACTTAGTTCATATATAGTTCTCTTTATGGTCATGACTTTTATAATATATGGTGGCTCCTAAAAGAGCCGTTTGTTTTTGAAATCAGGAAAGCACTGTTTAAGCTTTTGCTTTCTTCTCAGTCTTCTTGGGAAGAAGAACAGCATGTTTATTATTTTACCGCCAAAAGGAACGGCTCATCGTCTACAACGTGTAGTGATTCTCTTACACAGACAAACTTCCAGTTTTTGCCATCTGAGGGGAAAGGTTAAGGAAACGGTCTTCCTCGGTGTAGTCCTAGATGAACATCTGTCTTGGAAACCGCACATTTCTCAAGTAGCTCGTAAAATCTCGAAATCAATAGGTGTCATTAATAGAGCAAGATTTTTCTACCTAAACCGTGTCTAAAAATTCTTTATTATTGTTTAGTTTATCCTTATCTTCATTATTGTATTATTGTCTGGGGATCTACGTACAAAACCAATCTTCGCCGTCTTGTCTCTTTGCAAAAGCGAGTTATCAGAATTATTTCTAAATCAACTTTCGATTCTCATTCAGACCCTATTTTCAAAGAATTAGAGCTACTAAAACTTTCCGATATTAGACAGCTAGAATTAGGTAAACTTATGTTTTCTCTTAACCATTCTCTTTTGCCTTCAAAGTTCAACAATTATTTTTCTTTAAACAAACAAGTCCATAGCTATGCCACTAGACACGCGAACGATTTTCACCTTCCTTCTTGTAGAACAAACCTTCGTAAATTTTCTGTCAGTTTCCAAGGACCTACTTATTATAACACTATAGAAAATGATATTAAAGAATCTAATTCTCTCCACTTATTCAAAACGAAATTGAAAAAAAAATTGTATATGAATTATTAGTTATAAATCTTCTAGTAAATAGTTATATTTCTTCCATGTCTGATATTATTTTTATACTTATTGTTACTTGTACCATACCTAATATTTTGTCAACTCAGTCTATGTAATTAGTTAATTTATACTTACCTTCATTGTATTTTGCTTTCGATCCTGGCCTTACCGTTACTGTTAACTTTATTTTTACTCTGAGGGAGCCGAATGTCTATAAGCCTCATGGTTTCTTTTTGGGCTTTCTCGCCACTTTCATTTGCTTTTGTGTAACTGTCTTGTTTTATCGTTATTTGTATTTTGTGGTAAATCAAATAAAGTTACAGTTACAAGGACGGTTCAGCCGGTGAAGATTATAGTTTGAATGGCTGGGTATAACCTCCGAGTAAGCTTTCATTCGGGGTTACACGAAAGTGGCAATGAAAGGAGACGCGAAATAGTCTTGTCTGTTAATTAGGATACGTCAGTTCAGTTTCGTCTTTGTTTTGTAGGGGCCTTTTTAACTAAGCGTAGGTCAGCTTAGCCTGTGTTGCAGAACAGGCGTTTTTTCCCTCGCGTTCTTTCGTCGAACTAATCACGAAGAGAGCGTAGAGCTTTTCTGCGCGTTTCGCTTTCGTGCGTGTCTCGCGCTCCTCGCTCGCTTCGCGCTTGCCTTTGGTTTCCTTAAAAACGCGAATTAGAGGTTTCAAGGAGTATACGTCCTCTCTTGATAAATTCGGGTCCGTGGCATGGAGGAGCCGTACATTCATTAAGGAACTGTTTTTGAACAATGCACGCCAACCGGAAGTGGACTTTTTACATTCACGAGCAGTGGTTTTTCCAAAATTTTTAGTTAAATCGTCTCTACAAGTGAAAAAAAACTAAGTAATACAATTTTTTTTAGCGTCAAGATGTATTAAAAGGAAAAAGTTCTCACTTTCGGTTGACTTGCAGCGTTAAAAAACGCCCTCGCTTAATTAAGTTCCCTATTAGAAGATTCTAGGGAACGTTATTTTTTCTTATGTGGAATGATTTTCATATGATCTTGTTCTTAACCACTTATATTTTCAAGCGAAACGGCGCCTTCAAACAGCGTCTCTACTAGATTTGCTCATGCAGGGGTGGCTCGCCAAATCAATTGACTAGTGCATAACCGTTTAACTTGGAGTTTTTCGACTAATTTACCTACGATTTTCTGAGGTTGACTTTTTATATTTGATAAAATATTGCGATTATTGTGTAGGAAAAAATAATGGACACTGGGTGGGAGGAGGATATTGCCTAGCTTTAAAATTGGCTAATAACATTGTTACTAACTTGTATTGCAAAAATGAAAAAAATATCTTTGGTAGAGAAACTTGCTTGGCCTAAAGACAGTTAGTTAGGGTGTAAAGCCAGGACTGGTAAAGCTGAATAAAACAGGATGGTAGGCCTGTGAAGTCAGGCATAGTCATGGCACAGCAGATGAAGTCTGTCTGCGAACCAGGCCTTATTCTTGGCCCCTACCTGTGTACCATAATTTGAGTACACACCATGATCGTCCTGGTTAAAAAATGTCAATTACGCACTTCTGGTTTTTCGTCGAGTCCATTAGGGCCCAGAACAAACATGCATCTCTGCGCTGCTTGGCAGATGTTACTAACCGAGGTTAAATTAAGACTGCGATGTACCCCAGGGAAACCCTGCCATTCGTGACCTCTGTGGGACTTCTACACTGTACACCAAGACAGCTTTACCATACAAATTTTAATACAGCAGTCCTGTTTTACAATTTTCTAAAAAATTATTTATCATGTCATTTGGGGCTTTCTTCAACTAGGCAATCCTACTTCTATTATGAATATGCAATAAATCTACGAGCATGTCTAACAGTTTAGAAAACAGTATTCCCAGCATCTGTGTAATTATCCAAACACCATGCTCTCCAAACTTGAGAATATACTTCCTTCACTGTGAGCTGGGTCTGTTTGAACAAAAAATAATTAAACACATTAGGGTACAATGTACAAGGCCTTGCTTTTGGAATTGTAGTATATATACCCAGTTACAATATAAACAGTTTTATTTGCATTTCTCTTTAGCATCCTTATAACTTGTTAAGCAGATTTTTAGGGAAGCCCCTATTAACTTTTTTCTTGTTATTGTTTTTTTTAATTTTATTATTATTTATTTATTTTCTGTTTTTCTTTTTTAACTTAATGCAGAAGAGTAAACTGACAAGCTGAGCAGTTTTCTCCTTCTAGAATGCTATCAAGTATCAGCTGTCCCAAAATTCTTAATCGTCACCTTGTCGAATCCACTCCCCTAGTTTGCAATTATGGTATTAGTAGTTTAGTGCTTCTTAGAAATGTGGTAGACTTTGGTCACCACTCTCCTCTGTCCATTCAATCCCTTAACACCTTTAAAGGGCTTCCATGAGAGGTGATACTTGTCATATTTGTTGAAACTTGTCATGTTAAGCCGTCCCCAATGTTGATTCACATAACAATCCTGAGCGACCGTGTTTTTGTGGCTTCGGCACCTAAACTCTGGAATGATTTACTTCTGGAATGTTGAATGGCCAAATCTGTTGACACTTGTAAAAAATTTTTAAAGACACACCTTTTTAGTAAGGCTTTTCATTCTTAGTTAGGTATACTTAATACCTAACACAACTATGTGCTTTATATTTAGTTTTTTTAAGCAAAACTTTTAAAGATGTACCTTTAAGTAAGGCTTAATTTTATTCTTAGTTAGGTTTTTTAATATTATATACAACACATGATGTAATATTTTTTGTTGAAATGGGCAGGTGATCATCTCATAATAAAAACTGTGCAATATGAATTCTAAATTATTATTATTATACGATTTAAATATTACAGCACACCATAGTGCCCCTAAATATAATGCCTGTTGTGCCGGCTACCTGATAACGTATATTTGCTCATTCTAAATTATGTGCATGCCTGCTTATTGCTAAGGTAGCATCAGACAAATTAAACCATTTCCAAGCAACAGCTTTGGGTGAGTCGACAGGCAAGACAAACTGACACCACTGCATCCTCAGTTAAAAGTTTAAGTATATTTTCATATATTAAAACAGTGATCAAAGACTAAATATTAAGTAGTTCCTCCAAGAGCTTACTCTGTGATCCAGCCATCCAGTCAACTCTACCAACAACAATCAACTTTGTTTGATATTCAAGGAACCAAAAATATTCCTCGTCGTCTATCTCAGTCCCATCTTCCAAAAACACACGACACGTATTCAGGGCAAACTTGCCCATTGCTTTGCATTTCAGCTCTTGAAGGCTGGCAGCGACTATGCCCACCGTCCTTTGAGCGTGGGAGTTCCAAATTTTAAAAGGACGACGTACTATTTCTGCCATGACCCACAAAGTTGGACCTTCAAATAATAAAAAGATTATCAAAATTATCAACCAATTTTGGCACTTTTTAAATTACAAGGTCAGAGATCAGGGAACTCTCCATTTACAACACAGATTTCTCCGACTAGCATTCGGTAGCCCATGACTATTTACTTTTTTCTCGAATCCAGATGCACCGAACTAGGTTTTGCAGAGAACAATATTATACACTTAATGTCAGATCCTGAGGGAAACAGTTAGTTTTGTTTTCCCAAGAGTCCTGATGTTTCCCAAGAGGTCTCGGGAAACATCAGGACTCTTGGGAAAACAAAACTAGCTGGTTTCCCGAGGGACCTGACATTAAGTATTTTGTTATATTTCCAGACTTTCACTTCAACGTACTTCAACAGCAACAAAAGAATACGCTTAATAGAAGCGAATCAAAACAGTACGACTCAGTACTTATAAGTACACAAATTTAATTCTCAAAACCACTGAATGAATGATTTAAAAAGTACTCTCCTTATATTATCTGCATCTTTTTCCTCCCTGTTGCCGTTTCTCTTCTGGGATAACTCTGAAAATCGTTGCTTTTAGCTTGAGGCTTCGTGTTTGTGTTGTTGTGAATATGGTTGTGTTCATTTACGAAAACTGTCACGCCACTTTCCACCATGCTCTGATCACGTGCTGTAATGTATCCCGAGCGGGGTACAACGATCAACGATCGGGATACATTTGATTTTTGTAAGGACCACGTGACCAAGAATCAGCCAATGGCTGTCCCTGTTTAGTTGAGTGAAACTCTTTGAATATAACAACGGTCTTTTACTTTCTTCGAAGGCAGCAAAATATCAAAATTTCGTTTTCATCAAGATCCACTCGCATGATCGCGAACATTTCATAACTGTGAAACAGCTACAACTGGCTCATTACTGGTTAGCTTTACGAGCTCGTCAACTCTTTATTCAAATGGTGGATGATAGCTTTGCACGAGTCGAACTCCTTGCGACATACGGAAGAGAACGAATGCTAAACATCCAAATTTCCTTGAGAGCTCCCCAAGTTAAACTCATTGCACTAAATACTTGATCTTCTCTTAATTCAACTTAAAAAAAGCGTCGTGCTAGCGTTTGCCAGAACGCGACACTAATCAGAGGTGGTGTCGATCACTATCGATGTCACATGCGACTACCGCTTTCACCGCCATTTAACATGTCTGTCGTTCTTCCAGAAGTTAGGTTAAATTAAAAATAAATAGCAACAGGTGTGTGCTTCAAACATAGTCAAAGATGTTTAAGGTAATAAGTCTCCATGTCCGGGATTCAGAGGGCAGTCGGGCAGAAGTTTCGAGCTGTCCGAATGCTTGGTTTTCTTCGCTTTCGGGTAGATCATGCGAAGGTTCGTTCAATAGGCGACAAGTACAATGTATATAGACGTCTTATTTGCAGTAGGTAAGCTTAATCACCGATGTATTGGGCGCGATCCATTCAACCAAAATTCAGACCGTTCCGACCGGGAAAAGAGGACCACCTCAAAAGGTGGACCTGTTTTTTCGAAACTCAGTCCGGTTGGACCGAACCGATCCATTGAGTTTTGGACCGAAATTTCCGGAAATTTTGGTTGAATGGATCGCGCCCATTAAAAGCAAAACACGAGAAAATTGGACTAAACTCACTTTCGCTTGAAAAAAATTTGTCGACCGAGTAGCCAGTCTTCAGGTTTTTTCTGTGAAGAATTCATGTTGGAGCTGCTTTTTATACACCCTGCCTGCATAGCTCCGTCCTTCAAATACCTTTATTCTCAAAATACCTAAGAAAAAGTTTGGCAAAGGAATGTAACCTGAAATAACTTTAGTACGGTTTGATAAGGCTGCCGATACGCTTCAGAGGTCCGTTCTCAAAATACCTAAGATGAAATAAACCGTGGTACCAGGGGTGGGTGAACTTGGTAGTTTGTTCGTTTTGTCAACCTCGTTCCCAGGGTTCTCTCCTAGGTTGCCGTTTTGTTTGCTGGTCTTGGCCATCGTGACGTCACGAAGAGGGAAGCGTAACTTCGCTTCAAAATGGTTTTTGTCAGAGTAGGATAGTGAAGTTCCAACATCTCTTTCCGAAAAGGTGAGTGAAATGTGTACTAATCTGAAAAATAACGCGTATGAGAGCTGTAAACGGTTTCGGTCAATTTCCTCCAGTGGAATAATGTGCTGCAAAAGGTTGCATGATCGCACAGTAATATCGCATTTTGTCGTAATCGGTGAGGTGTTGAACATCGAAACTTGGCATAAGGGTAGGTTACTTCTATTGGAAAGCATTGTCTCTGAAGTTAAATGCGATAAACCAGCAGATCCACAATTTTTTATACCCCGTTCTAGAAAACGCCTCTGAAATGGATACCCCATTCTAAATCAGGAGCTTCAAAATCACGACCCCGTTGGGCGGCACATACCCTTATAGGTAATGTATGGGAGCACCCCTCCCGGGAGTAGAGTATTAGTTGATAACTCATAAGTACCAAATGGAAAAGATAGACTGGACTCTGGACTGGATTGGGACTGGTTTTTTTAGGGGGGGGTAATTTTTTTTTGAGGAGGGGGGTTGTACTATTTTTTCTAGTCTGTAAAAAAATCGCCTTTCCCCAACAGGCTATATTTTTTTCATTTGGGGGGGGGGAGAGGAAAGGACTTTACTTTTCTTTTAGTCTGTGTTTTAGTCTTAGATTGGTCGCTCTGTTTGACTCATGGCCGTCACGTTTCACTTGAAAGTTGAAGAAAATAGCAGGAGTGGATGTTACGATGGTGGAAATACCCTAAAGATTATCTCAATATTTTTGGGGGTGTGTTACGTATTAACAAAAACATGACCTGTTTCTTCTGTGCACCAACCAACCCATGGGCTGGGCTTTGTTTTCGGCATTGTTAGTTGTTGTTAAACCTAGTGGGAATTACCAAAAAATGATTTTCTTCTTCGGAGTCTAGTGCCATTAGTAGCTGTGATAGCAATTACGCACAGTGAATGTCAGATTCGCTTTTCTGGCTTTTGGTCACATGCAAATAATAAACAGAGGTCAAAGGATATAAAACACTTTACAACTGCATCTGAAATCAAATCCTACCAGGGACACCTACAGAAGCATCAGGGGCACCCAACGACAATTTTTTGGAAAAATATCTGTTCGGAAGATGAGGAACATTTGTTGTAAAATAACTTGCTTGCCTACCTCTCCTAGGATTTTCGAACACCTAAAAAATGGTAAATTTACCCATTTTCAACAGATTTTTACACTAAAAAGGTCACCTAGAATTTTCGGGAGCCTTTCTTCTGGCTGAAATTTTCAAACAGGTAAGTTTTAATCCCTATAATTTTCGGATCACTAGACTTTCAGCTAGGAAATCCGAACAGATGAAAAATTTATAGGGGATAAAAATATGCCCATATTCACCTTTTAAATACTAAGACACGCTTAACAATGCGATGTTTAAGTAGTTTTGAACTATATTCTCGTTGGGTGTCCCTGAAGCATAAACCACAGGAAATGACTACTCAGTATACATGTAACAAACCTGCTTCATGACCTCTGAATATAAGACTTAGTGCGGCAAAAACAAGATTTACTCAGTCAAAGTTTAGAATGCTACAAGTCAACCTTTGCACTAGAGAAAAAACGAAAGAGACCCACTGTTCAAGCAGACTCTCAAGGTCAGGTTTCACTTTATCACGAGCTTCTGAGTCGTGTTTGGCCTGTTAACGCTTATTTCTTAAAAAGATAGACTACAAGAAACAGGTCGTGTTTTTGTTATTATGTAACATCCACTCCTGCTATTTTCTTCAACTTTCAAGTGAAACGTGATGGCCGTGAGTCAAACAGAGTGACCAATCTAAGCCCCCACCCAGACTAAAATGACAGACATAAAACAAAACCAAAAACAAAAGAGAAGAGTAAAGTCTATATAATACTACCCCATTCCCCTCCCCCCAAAGAAGAAAACATAGCCTGTTGGGGAAAGGTTGAAAATGCGATTTTTTTACAGACTAGAAAAAATAATACAACCCCCCCACTCCAAAAAAAAATTACCCCCCTTAAAAAACACAGTCCACTCCAGTCCAGTCCAGAGTGCAGTCCCGGTTTTCCATCTGGCCCTCGTAAATAGTTTAAGTCAAATTTTTCAAGTGGAATTTTTGTCACAGAAATTTGCATGATGTAACCGATGAAAATCGGTTGGTGTGGAAATTCGAAACTTGGCAGAAGGGTAGGTCAGGGATAGTGGAAAACATTGTCCTTGATGTTTAATGGGAGAAATTAGCGCTAAAAATGATCAGTCCATTCGAGTGCGCTTTATATTTATAATAATATTGATATAAACAGATAATCTCGACTCGCTTACCCCTGCACAATGTAAGTCAATTATTTTTCGGTTTTAAGAAAAAGGAAACCAAAGACTTCCCTCAACACTATGTATCTATAATAATTACACCAGGAATATATATATTTTTTAACACTTGAAGGTTGTACCATCTTGTTGAAGCAAAGAATATTTCTCTGTAATGCATCAGTCAATTCCAGCTGCGCCCAGACCCCCTCCCCATCCCCCCCTTGTGCTGACCACTGGACATTAGCATTTTTCTTGACTTGGATGGCAAATTCCTGGGGGTGGGGACTCTTGAGCTATCAAATCCCCTAGGGTGGGGATGAAAAAAGAGGGCAAATGCCCCGTCCTCCGTCAACACTGCAACATTTTTCATTGATCACGCAGTCGAATAATGCCGTTTTACGCAGTTTCAAGTAACATCTTCCTTTGTAAAAGTGCTAGGATTCTAATGAAGACTTTATGCCGCGACAACATGCACTAGTTTATAGTTTTAGTGTGCAATATAAAATTGTTGACATTAAAATTAATAGAGTGCTGCAACGTTATATGTTATGAATAGTTTTATAAATATGAAAGGATGTTCTTCAAATAATATCAACAGAAATTTGATTCAATAACTAAAAAAACATTGATTCACATCGATAGCTCCGGTTTTCGC